CCAGACTGTGTCAAACAAATCATGGTACAATAATCTTTATAAAATAGTAAAACGTTCCATGATCTGGATGTAGGTTGAGTAGCCCTAGGTTGCGCAGGCGAAGGCAGGATTTCACGTGTCGATTACAGGAGTTACTTTTGTTACATTACCCCATGTTGTTGGAATTCTGAAGGCTGGTTCCAAATGAGTCTTTTTTTGTATGCATACCAGTTTGCCAATACCCTTGCTGTTATTTGTTGTAAATAACTGTTGTCGTCTCGGCACCGTCTTTTGGATTTATAACACTTTCATTCCGATTTGATAATTCAGATCTCACTTCCACTCGCATTTTTCGGTTCGTCCAGCCGAGTATACAGCAGCATTTAAAAATGTAAGAGTCCAGTGAACGAGATATTGAGACATGAAGCACAGGAAAGCAGAGGATGCGAGTAACTTATACGTTACACAAAATGTACATATTCAAAAATATTGCCACCGGCTTTGTCGTCAGCTGATTCACGTGCTAATAAGTTGAACAGCTACAACCCGAGGTGTCGTGCACGTTGGCTGAACTGTTGCAACCGGAACAGCCTTTCAAATGCGAGGTTTGTAATTCGCAGGTTAGAGATCAAAACGGTCGAATAAATGTAATTGTTGTGTGTAAGTTGTTGATTTGAACTGTACGAGGACCGTCTGTGAATAGCGTTCCTAACATCCCGACACGCTTCATCCTGTTGATCAGCATTTTATGTGACTAACAGGTTCAACCCCAGTCCAAGAGTGTTCAGCTAACGATGCTCACACAGTTGTTGAAAATGCAAATACCCAATTTGGATGCTATAACGTGTTTGCTGCGGTCAACCAACTCCATGTACCGCAGGATTTAAGCAGCAGATATTATCTGTTGTGAGCAGGTTACATACATATATCTTAAATAGCAATACATCCTAGATCGAAAACAGCATTCCATAATTGCTTTAACCTCGAATGGAGCGCCCTCTTTGATCACTTTCGGTGCAAGATTTGGGTTTTAATAAAGCCTGTGGAACTTGATGTCCTGATTAACCATCAATGTCAATTGACCACTTCCGGGACAAAGAAAACGTTATGCGAACCAAATCTTTTCCTTCCCCTTGGGGTTTTACTCTTTCAGATCAATTTGGTCTCTAGTCTTCAAGAGGCTCGTAGACAAAACGAGATTGCGGAGAAACGTGCCGAGTTAGCCCAGAAAGAGAGCAGCCGTCTGGTCAAAGAGCTTGCCCAATACAAAGAGAAAGCTACGCATATACTTACCATGAAGGAAAATGTACGTATTCCCATGCCTGATTACTGTGCTTTACGTCCCTACATTGTCTCATTGCCCTCGTCATTGTCTATCCTAAATCGCTCACCCACACTACCTCAATCCTGACTTTTTTTATATATCATCGTCCAGTGCAATTAATCGGCCCTGTATGGTTCCGAAGTGGTCGTATTGTCAGTTACAGACCTTTATCCGCACTGAAATATGAGCAGCGATGTAGTTAACAAACAAAAGGATAACTTCGATCAGAAAAAAGACCAGTGAACAGGTTACTTTTTGACACAATACATTTCAACGACCATTTTTGGTTTTCGTTTATTTTGCGCAGCAGGGCTTTGTGTACTCATTGACCGACCTGTACAGCTTCCTCGCATCTAGCTGCAGGTTTTGCCGATAACATTGAGCGTATATATCCATTTCACGTCCTAGTACCACTCCGAAGCCCAGGGCTAGATTGACTACTAGTCAAAACGGTACGACACCTTAATGTCAGACCACTTGCTCTTACGTGAGGATAAATCAGTTTCGCACTTGACTGGTCCACATGACTCTTAGATGGTCCCTTCGTGTGATTGCTTTCGAAAATACCGTTGTTCAACTAGTCAAACGCGCTGTGTTTATCATGCAGAGTACGCAGAAAATGATTTAGAGAATGCTACTGTTGTCGCTTATTCTCGGTTCTTCTAATTGTGTATTGCAGCTGATCGCTTCCTTGCGTGCGTCAGACACCAAAGCCACTGATTCAAATGAAACTTCCAATCCAGAACAAGAGATGATGGACGCCCTGCGGGCGGAATGTGACATGCTTCGGGAAGAGGTTTCGCGTTGGCGTATCGAGGTTGACCATCGCGAGCTGACCATGCAAGAATTGGAGGTACAAATGCAAGCGGAACGTGAATCGTTTCGAAGAAACTTGACTTTGGCAGAGCAACATGCGGAACGTGAAAAACAGGTGCGTTTCACCTCGTTCTATTTTCAACGGGAGAGGGGCACATCGTGGCCTGTGCAATAACAGTCGGGTTTTATGTTGATCTTAAAGAAGATCTTTATCCTCAACCATATGTCTAATGTACGTGTGCTTCGATTTCACTTTTGATCTTGGTATCTTGGGAAATGTAGCATCTAGAGTCTTCTTGATGATTTTTCGTGGTTTCCGAGTCCTACCCATCCACATAGTGCTTTAGATCACTGGTTAGTAAAAAAAGACTTTCATTGGTGTATTCCTGGATCCATTATGTGTCTTACTGATGATCACTATTTCGGTTTTACCCGTGTTACTCTGTTGGCTATGTAATAGTGATCCGTTCGTGAAACTGTACATCTCCGTTTTGTGCATGATTTAGTTTCAGTTTATACGACTATTAACCATGCACTTTCGTGCACCGGTTTTGGTTGCCGTCTTTCGGCCGCTCATTCAGTTTCTGTAACCACCGCTGACGATGATTCGCAGGTCCCCATTCAGGAAGCTTAACACGACCTGTTTGACCGAGTCTTCTGATGCGCTTGGCTTTTTCCATCCCCCACCTGCCTCGACAAACATCGCTGGCCATGGCAACCTATTTTGTGGCACGCGTATCACATGCCCAAGTAAGACAATCTACAGTAGTCGACCACCTAAGACTACGCCCAACCTCAGCACTGCTTGTTCAATCGCCCCATCAGACTCACGCAATGCTGCGTAGACAGCGGTGTTCGAAGACCGACAGCATATTTTCGATACAAAAACCTTGTTTGCATCACCGGGTGACGTTTGGATAGACAGCTCTTTCAGAGCCAGTCCATTGAAGAATCAATGCTATGATTCAACGTTTTTGTCAGTGGGTTAGATACTACTAACCGCAACAGACGTGACTTGATAGTCTTTCTAGAATATTTCATAATAGGTAGTATGTGAATGACTGGACGAAATTTCCCTGGAAGCGCACAACCGGTTTCGCGGTCGAAAATATACTTCCTGGGTATAAGTATATGAATGAGCTGACAAGAGATTACCGAGTACGCATACCTGACGAGCGGCAAGGACTGCAAAACCGGTCGTGTGCTTTCAGGGAAATTTTGTCCAGTCATTCGCATACTGCATGTATATATACATGTATATATATGCTAGATATATATTCCTCAAGTTTCTAATACGTCAGAGCTCACAATCAGTGTTTTCCTTGAGACGTCTAAGACTTGTGTTCTACGCTCATCGTCACATTCCTGCTCTGTGACCTTCACCAACCTAGTTGAAATGGCTTATTCCAATATTACACAAACATGATGGATTGAATAATTTGACTTGATTTTGTTGATAGTTTTCGCTCATTCTGATCACCTTTGTATATCATAGTTCCGGGCGCTCATAGTTTCCTTCTTGACCGCTTGTGTATGCTGTTGTTTGAAACAGCTGTCTTTTTCAACTTTTTCATCGTGTTTGCTACTAATCACCCTAGTCGCTTTTCTGATTACCAGAGTTATCAACAGCAAGCTTTATCCAAAAGTAACACCGGGGACCGAAAAGGCATTAGTGACAAATTGCAAAAAAACTGATAACTCATTATTCCTGTTCTGTTCCCCCTGAATTTCAGCTTCGCGAGGACGCAGATACCGAACTGGCTCAGTTACGACGGCGATTGCGCGAGTACGAGGACAACATGAGTCGTCACAAGGCAGACTGGCACGCTCAGCTCACAGCCAGTGAAGCTGAACTTGGCCGACTTCGCCAAGCGTTGGCACGTCGTCAACCCTCAAGCTCGTCACACAACTCCAACGCTCCAACTCCCACAATGGGTGAACCAACTCGGAACGATCCGGAATATATCTTGTCCTTGGAGTCCCGTTTGCGCCAACTAACTGACAAT